GTGTGTGTGTGTGTGTGTGTGTGTGTTCTGACTGTAATGCGACGGTTTAAAAAAAATCACATTTTAAAATATTTTTTGCTTTCTTTTTCTTTGCTATTTAACCATTTTTTAAATTTAAAACAGATTTAAATCTTTTATTTTTCTGTCAGCTAAGCTTGAATTATGGTAAAACCTAAATTTTAATTTGTTATTATTCAAGGCCAAAAGGCAGATTCTACAAACTACAAACTATTTTCCTGATGTGGATGATAGAGGTGATATATTTACAACTGATTTGATTTTTAATTCAGCAATTCAAGATGGCCACCACAGCAAATGTCTGGAAAAACACAAAAATGACTACAAAGTGAGTTGGTTTGACAGATAATACAATAAAAATGGGTTGTGGTAACAGCTGAGATTAATCCATCGTCATAAATTCTGAGCGCTAACTGTGCACGATTTTTTTTTATTAAATAGTGCTGTTACTTATTCAGAATCAACTTTGTTCAGTGAAATTTTCAGAAAGTAATCATTGGCGGTACAAACTGAAGAAATTTAGTGATCAACTCACTTAAAGACGGCTGCAAAAGTAAACGACACAAAAAGGTCTTCTGAGTCAATTTTACAAATGTGTTATTTTTTCTGTGTTGTCAGGTTTTAATTTGCTAATCTATTCAAAACTGGAACCAAGAAAATTAAACAGCTCTTMTTTATTATAAGTTATAAATTATTTATTTACAATGACATTTTTTTTGTAAAATACACAACATTGCAACATTTTAAATAACCTTTTCAAGCCATTTATTTACATTTTTATACTTCCATTCTTCTCTTTGTTTGAAATAGAGCAAGAGGTTCTATTCATAGAGAGAAATAAAACTCCCTAAAGTCATCGTCCAAGACAGGGGCCTGGTTCTGCAGGGTCTCTGCTGGAACTGGCTCCTAAAACTCACCACAGCTGATAATGTGCAGTTTCAGTCAGAACCAACAGGGTTCTGGCTCAGAAGAGCTGGTTCAGTCCAAGCAGAACCTCAGCTCTGCAGCTCCCTGGAGGCGTCTGAGGTTGAGGAGAAGCCGCTGTCGTGCAGCTTCCTGATGTGCTTCTTCAGGTCGAAGTTGCGGCAGAAGCCTTTCCCGCACGTGGAGCAAGTGAAGGGTTTCTTATCGTTGTGCGTGTGCATGTGGAATGTCAGGTTGTAGATCTGATGGAAGGCCTTGTTGCAGATGGAGCACTTGTACTGTTTCTCCCCRCTGTGGGTCAACTTGTGATTTTTATAGTTCCCTAAAAAAAAAAACAATTGGAAGGTGTCAGGATGCTCAGGAATGTAAAAACACTGCAGAGTMCTAAAGAAAAAGGCTTTTTTATTCCTCCTGTGCAGCACAGAGGGATGCACGTTCACTTGTCAAATCTGGAGCTCATAAATTTAATTATTATTTTGTTTCTGTAAAAACCAGATGCATTTGATGAAATTAAAATATTTATAAATGCATTTTTTAAATTAATCGTTCTAAATCACTTAATAATTTTTGATGTTTTCTGAACAAAACACCATCATGTACCAATAAATTTATATTTCTGTTCATGTCAAAGGCTTCAGGAATTTAAAGTTGTGAGGTTCTGAAAACAAAGTTCAACATTAATTATAAACCTTGCTTTGTTAAAGGAAACCCTGGCTGCTCCATGCTAAAGTTTGAAAGTAAAACCATCTTCTGATGAAAACTATTGCTGTTAAAACCAACAGGATCTTATATTGTGAGATAAATCTGATCAGTTAATGCTTGGAGTATTTGTTGAGGATGACTCTCCTACCACACACAATTTGAAGCTGCAGATCTGAGTGAGGAAAGTCATTTTTGTGAAGGATAGAAGCAAACACAGTGCAGCCACTTTGCTTGAACTTTATATTTTGGGTTGTTTGTAAAACATAATTTGCTATTTGTACATTTAATGAGTTACRTTTAATGACTCTGAGTTTCATTTAAAACCCACAGAGGTCAGGATTAGGGTTGCAGAAAAGCAATGGTCACCATTGGACCACTGACCAGACAGTTCTGTCCTCATTTTTACTTGGTAGGCTTTTTTTTAAATTTCTATTTTTTGTTTAGGATCAGTAAAACTTCATAAACATCAAACACTGGGAGAGCAATTAAGTTACAAAAATTTAAGATTTAAAATAAAATCTATAATCACCTGTAAATGATAAATRGAGTGTAYTTATAAACGCCTTTTTTATACAGTCAGGATACTCAAGGCTCTTTTCAACCTGTCCCCCCATCCACACACATTCACACAGCACTCTGTCTCTAATCAGTGCTTTAAATCACATTCACACACTGATGGGACACACATCACAGGCAGTGGAGTGCAGTATCTTGCCCAAGGACACTTTGGCATGTGACMGAACAGTGGTGGAATTGAACTGCCAACTCTTGCTTTGAAAGATGACTCCCCTATGGTCCCGCCCTGGAATTTTTAGTGCTCCCCCCCAAAATTAAAAATATTCTTTGAGAGAGTAGAGAGTCACTGTTGCGGCCATGTTATAGGATTGACTTTAGATCAAAAGATTAATTATTGATTCCTTAATAAAATATGTCCAGTGGTTCACGAGATGCTTTGCTAACAGTAAAACACACACACACCTTCATATTAACATTTCCTGCTGCATCCCACTGCTTAAGTCCAATCTGTCTTCATTAATGGTGGTTTTTTTTTTTCATCTTTTTTGTTCTGAGGTCAAAAAGTTGTCAAACTGGTTTCAATAAGAAGTTGCGGACCTGCACCTGGACCACAGGTGCCAGAAATGGACAGCTTCTATGATCCGTCCTCATGTCCTACTTGACTGCACCCCTCGATAATGGGCCTGTCGGATCTGAGAGGAAGTTACGGCCAAACAAGAGAGTGTGTGTGTGTGTGTGTGTGTGTGTGTGTGTGTGTGTGTGTGTGT